AACATCTTATTAGGCTTTGATATGCATTTGCAAGTGAAAAAGGCAAAGATCCGCTTTACGGCGATTTTCGCTTTACGGCGGGGGTCTGGTCCCTACCCTGCCGTATAAGCGGTGCCCTACTGTACTGCATTTATTTTATAGAGAACTGTTTGAGTATGAATCAGACTCAGTAGCTGTGTGTGAGTGATAGAAGACTTGTTCTTATCAAGACTGATTGTGTATTTGTCAATTTATGAGTTATATACAAGGCCTACTTGATTAATATTGTACATATTATTTCAAAATCCTCAGTGTCAAACAAGATTTATGATGATGAGTGTTAAATACAATGTATGTAAAAATGGTCATGGCCTTTTAAAGCATAAAACTGCAGATACACATGAAAACCCAGTCCCTCATTATCGTTGTGCTTGCACAACAGAAAAATTTCAAGTTATTTACCAGTATTTTGGCAGAGTAACATTACAATTTTCAAATGCAGTCAACACTTACGCTGTTTGGCCTGAAAAAAGTTCTTGACAATATTGTATTTTAAAGTTAAAAATTTATTCATATCAAATATCTTACATAATTAATAGATACCTATTAAATAAATATGAATAGATCCTAAGGGCAATTTAAAAATCACAAACCTCCAAACAAACTGCAGCTGATAATACACACTTGTATTTCTATATATTTAAAGGAAGATACTGTCACGCATGATAATTTTTTGAAAATGCATTGTCTTTAAATGAGAGGAGAAACAATGACAAACATTTAAACTAATCCCTCCAAATAAATATAAAATTTCATCAAAACTCAGATTTTGAAGAAAACAGAAAAATGGAAGAAAAAAAACTTCTGCAATGCTGCACTATTTGATACAAAAAATCAGTTTAGAAATGGAAGACAATTCATTTAATGCTATCTTATATACCGAAATGTTAACAGGTTACACACAATGAAGCATCTTTTGCCAATTATATGAGTAGTTGCTGGAGAAGACACAGCATTTTCACAAATTTACAAAACAGGACTGTGCATTTGTTTCCTTCCAGTTACACTTTGCCTGCATTAAAAAGGTAGAAAATACTGGGGTTATATACAACTTAGGCCTAGAAGGAGATAAATTTAGAAAAATTAAAGAGATAAGTAAAAGAAAGGCCATAGGTAGACTGATATATAGATATAAAAAAGTAAACCTATTAAAACAAATATAAAATACAGGAAATATATACACTTTGGCACTGGTGTTATACTTTTTTATGTTTCATACTACATTTGCTAAATTCAGTTTTCAGTGAAGAATACATCACAACTTAAATTCCAAATCATACACACTCTTCTGATTAAAAAAAAACACAAGGGGGAAAGAAACTCGGTAGAATTGCCTATTCCTCAATCAATATAGACTGATATATTATCAACAAATAATATAAATATGGAACTGCCTAAAATTACAAACCTGTAAGTACAATTTAACATAACACAATAAGCAACAGGTTCAAATATACAGCACTAAAATCAATTATTATTGGAAAGTAGCTTGGGAACTGCCAGAACAGCTTATACCTATGTACCCTCCCCTCACTGGCAATTCCAAGAGAAAATTCAAGCTTGAAAGTTATTACTGTTTGCGTATCTCGCAATTATCACAGATGCAGAATGGATCAGCCACTTTCCTCACAGTTAACAGCCAAGATATCAAATTCATATACAATTAATTACTCTTGTTATAATTATACTACAGTAAAATAATTTCACTTCTTTCATACTGTCCTTTTAACATACTCATAGGTAAATATTCTTAAGTTCAAGTGGCAAGTAATAATGTGGACAGGGAAATAAAGACAATATTCAGAGAATTGAACAACAAAATTATGTCCTGACCTTTGCCCAGCCAAAACAAAATATGACAGGTACATTTTTAATTTCCAAATCCATATTCCCACCTTTATTACAGAAACCATTCCAAAACTTTAAATTACAGGTCCAAAAGTGTTACTGAAACCCATTTTCATAAGTTTGAAATACCTCATGCAGTAAAGTTTAGCCTTTCTTTATTAAATCTGAATGTTTACCAAAAGTGGCAGAATTTACCCACAATTTTAAAATAAATCTGCCGTGTTATATGTGAACTGAACTTCCTGCCAAAAGGTGTCACCAATGATACATATGGGTGTGTGGATTTGGAAAGAATATATTATGTGAAGACAAAATAAGCACACCTACAGAAAATTTGTATCATTTAACCAATGTTTAAATACATGTCCATATTACAACTTTTATGTTAGGAATCTGTAAGTTAAGTGCACTTTTTCCTTTTGCATCCTTGGCATACAGACTTTACACTATCAGTCCATTGAAACAAAAGATATTTTAACAACACACTGCTACACTGTTCTAGCAACACGACGACACACTTCTAACAGTTGTACTGCGATCATAGTATGCTGCAAATGTGCAAATGCATGGAACAGTTCTCCAATCAGGTAGCAATAGTAAAAATCAGAAGACTGTACAGATAAACGCTTTGGGACTGCTGGATCAGAATACTTCAAGTTTCAGCACAAACATACCTATGCGCAAGCTGAAGGAATTTTCAGCATCCACTGCCATTTTTCCATTAGTAAATAAGGCCAAGCAGAAATTGAACATGTTCCAACAATAAACTTCCCTCGTATCAGTGTCATTCACCTCGGCTACAAGTACTTGGCAATTGCAGTCATTATGAACAGGAACTATATACAACTAGTATACAACAAACATATTCACAAAGAATTGAAGAACCCTGCTAGTCTGCAAAATTAAAGAGGCTGAAAGCAGCATTAGTAAGACAACATAAACCAAACTTATTTACCATCACTTAAAGTGCTTCTGAAGTTTTCAAGTCTAGTAATTAATATTGCAGGAACAAATAATGTAATGTAAGTACAAGTCAATGCACTTACCTCGGATTTTTAAAAAATCTATCATTCATAAAATTAAACAATTTATAGTCCTTTATACTTAAAATTTTCCAGTATAGGTAAAACGAACTAGTTAAGGTTTTCCGTTATTGAATCTGGACCACCACTGCTCTAATATTACTGATTTTTTCCAAATTGTACTTTCCTGGCTTATACCATCTCCTCGCAACAGTTTTGAGGAACACAAGTAAGATCAGCACAGAATCAAAAAATTATTGTACATATTTTGCATAAATTTTGATCCTCTCTGGAAGCTTTCTGAATAAAGACTAACCTACAATATACACATACAGCACAAATTTATGCTGCATAAAGATTCCAGCAAGGCAATAATTCATGTTACAGTACATTATGTAACTTTTGTACATCTTTACTTTGCTGTCTCAAGTCCCCTTCAATTCAGTATCTAAAATATCAACAAGTTTACCATCATCTTCAAATCAAACAAGGAGACAACCACCTTAACTATCTTCCCCATATTTACAGTTCAGTGGCCATTTTGCAATCAACACTGATAAAAATGTTTTGCACTTGCACAAAGCATTGTACCACTAATGATTAACAAAGGGCAACATGCAGTCTTTGAATAAGGATAAGTCAACAGACATGTCTTCCCACAATGCTTATCAGCAGCCTTCTAACATAAGTGAACTAGAAGAGTAAAGATAGTTTACGAACAAACTTTTAAAACTACTAGTTTGAAAATTAAAATTACAAAATACTAAATTTAACAACTTCATTCAACACATTTCAAAACTATTACGCCTGGACTCTGATATTAAGTCGTAAATAAAAATGTTAAATTTCAAACACAAATACTGTAAATACTTATGCGACATCTGTTACATTATCACTGTACCTTATTAGTCACAAATGACTACTCACCAAGAACACTTTATCCCACGCACGATCATGAAGTCTATGTGATACTATGTACCTATAAGGGAGTGGCCATTTAATCACTACATACAAAATGTCAGCCTTCTGGCATTACAGGAATATATAAGCTACTCAAACAAAATTACCTGTAATTTACATAATGTTCAAGCATCTTGTAATGAAGTCACACAGCTACACTTACAGTCCATGTTTCAAATGTTCAATGGACCACTCACACCACAAACCTTCAATGTTCAAGCACGAACACAAATATTCAAAACTTATCTTGTTTTGTCAAGTGCAGGGGAAGGGGCAGGCTGAGGATTTCCAATCGTGTCACAGCGGCGATAGTAAAGTAAGTACGGGACACGAGGTCCTCGCGGGCGGAGAACATGACTCTCCTGCACTGCCTTCACGACACTGTCATCATAACGCACCCAACCTCCATAACCCACATGAAAAACATCTGTTATGTAATGCCCTTTGGAAGCTTCTTTTCCATCATGGTATACAACTGAAAGGAAGTAACATATTTTAGCATCACAATGATCTGTTGGACTTAAGGGCATAGTTACACCTTCTTTATTACATCGTATCCTTTACAGGAGGTTGGCGACATATCATGAACAGGATCCTTCCATCCTTTTCTCGGACTGGGACCTGTTCATATACGTTCTTGGCAGATGATCCAGAAGTGGTTTGCCATTGCCTTCTTCTGTGTGTGAATGGAGTAACTGTTGGGATGCCACGGAGAAACCGGGGAAGCCCCCGGAGGAAAACTCCGTGCTGCCTAGACCACGGCCTTGCCCAACACAAGTTATAAATTCGGGTACCGCCGGGAATCAAACCCAGGACCCCAGGATTACAAGGCCAGCATTCTAACTGCTAGACCACCGTGGCAGTCCAGTTACACCTACTTATATATAAAAAGAACTCTTCTGTCTCATTAGTTTTCATCCGCTGGTCATTACAAGGAGACCACACATAATAAAATGCATAAAGCAATCAGTATCCATCGCTATTTCAGCACTTGGCAACATAAATGTTTTAAAGAATAATACCACCACGTACTGCAACATCAAAATAGATGTAACATGTAAAATCCTTTCTCTTTTAGAACCTGAACATGAGAAAGATGAATTAATGAAAATGGGATGGGCACTATAAACTTACCCTTGCAATATGGCCATAACTGATTTTAGCAGGGGGCCCTACTAACAAGCCCTCAGAACGTTCTTGTCCTGAAATGGACTGCACAAGGATAATTCATTGTTGAATTTCTTGTAATGCACTCACTTTCATGTGTTATTCTGTCATAGCACTGATATATTAAAACTTACCTGCAAATAACTTATACTGCCGCTGTTTTGGCCCACACTTCTTATTTGAGGACATTAACTCTGCAAAGAGAAAAAAATTAACATGTCAAGTGACACTTCTTTTATGCATGTAAAACCTGAACCTCAAACTAATTTTAAAGAATAATTCTCTGAAAATAGTTAACTGCTATAAAAAAGCCCATGAGTACGCTCATTTGTTATTGTAATGTATTACATTATACACAGTATCTAACTGTATTAATATTATTAATACAAAATGCAAAAACAACATTTGCTGAAAGTGGAAAATCTCAGTAAGCAGTGTGCCAAACATTGTCTATTACTACGAGGGCAGACAGGGTATCACTTAAGAAGTTTTGAAGGTTAAAAAGCACTTTTCACATACACAATGTCAAAGAGTATATTATGCTTGTCTGTTCCGAAACTATGGCCTTGATACTAGCACAAGACCAACTCTCTGGAACACACCAAGGGGCTCCTATCCTTAACAACCAGAACGGCCGTGACGGAAGAAGACACCACTTGGGTAATTGCTCTACCACAGGTGTAACGCTGATACATTCACAACATAAATGTACCTGCTGACTCCATGTGGATACAAACTTCTACAACATGCAAACAAAAGTCATATTTTGATGAAGGACCTGTGTACACTATACGACAAGTTCTCAAGCTGTATCAAATAATCTTCCTTTTTTGTTGAACACAGCAATATTGCCAAATAAGGTGGTTAGGTTCAGAAAACCCCAAAATTAAGCTGAAATACACTACATTAATAAGACTAACAGTGAAAATGCACATATTATCTCATTTGTTATGTGTAAGCCTTCCAAGTTGTTTAACTTTAAATTCTAATTTTTAAAGTTTCTTATTTTATAAAATGTTTTAATGCTACAGTATTAATTTTATTCTTCTCAAATATATGTAACAAAAACAAGTGAAGATATTATAGCAGTGGCACAAGTAATTTCTGTTCATTAAAAAAGATGATTTATTTACTTACACATATCTTTAAACAAAAACACTTGGTTTGCATCACACTACAAACTGCTGTACTTACTTGGATCCACTTTAAGATCAATTGGAAATTCCACACATTTCATTATCTTAGAGGCTCCATCCAATTTGTAATCAAATAATTTCAGGTGTAAAAGAAGCACCAATGGCAGTTCTTCTAATGTTACTTGCTGCCATGCTTCTACCTCCTGATTAGTGCGTGAACAGGTCACTCCTTCCAGCTGGTCACGACCAACAAGAATTTCCAATGCATCTTTGACTGACTGGGCTTTCTGTTGGAACAATGACACAAGACAGAGTCAAAAACACATGTATTGATGAGAATTTCAACATCAATGCCAGAGCTGAGAAGTATTCTCCTTAGCACCCTGTTCTCAAACATTATGAATGTTCCTTCATCTATCTATAACCACCACACTTCCCATGCCAAGCTATAAATGATCATAAATTACTACTCTCAAATGGAAGAATACATACATTTTTTGCACTCACCAAGCCATTTTACATAAAACAAAATGTTTTTTTTAAAATAAGTGGTAGTGTCCTTTCAGGCTATGATTGATAATTTTAATGTAAACAATACCTTTACTTAAAAATTCTGGAGCACCAATTAAAAGATTCATTCAATTCACCTCAATATCAAGCTGCAAGGTGAAGAATGGCTGCACATTGTCTGTGGACTGATCACCTGCTCGCTGGACTCTAGACCGAAGCTGACCTCTGAAGATATCAGAGATTGGAGTCCGGCCAAAGTCTGCACGACGAGTGATTGATCCTTTGTTCTTCGGACCCATTACCTAAATTTGGCCATCAAAATTAATACACATTTTTCACCCACAAGTACACAAGAAAACAATGGAGTACATACCCATTCGGAAAGGCAGTCTTTCATTTGATAGGTATTCCTAGATTAGGTTATGAGAACCATGTGTTTCCTGGAATTTGCCTCAAGAGACTGAGGCAAACCACAAAACCTGTCACAACAGCTGGTTTCCAGGCCAAAGTTTGAACATGGGACCTCCTGAATATAAATTAAGTGCTAACCACTATACCATGACATGTCATATGTATCATGAGCACATTTTCCTTTAGTTTAATTAAGAACTGGGCACCATCTTATATTTTTGGAAACAATGTACAAAAATCAAACAATTCTGGGAAAGATAACTATTAAATCAATACACATGCACACAGTATATTTAGGTCTGTATTTTTGGAATAGCCTGATTACACCTAGTGGCTCAGGTTTTTAAGTATGTTACATAATGATGCAATATCCATCAAGTCTGACTCCACATTTCCATTTTCATGGAAACAAAACCAACTGGGATGGTTCTTTAGAGAGGGTCAAGTGGGGAAGAAATTGTAATTCTGGTAAAAATCACGTCATATAATTACATGACTGCTCAAAGTTCAAATAAATCAAGAACCCCCAATAAGTCACACACACAACAAAATCTCATGCACTAAGTTCTTCACAGGCCTATATATAAAAATTATAATTAATGAACATCTCTAGAAACTGACTTGAACTGATAGACAATGTTACACTTTAATATCATAATTGTCTCTGAAATTCCTTTGGCTAAAATGCTACCATACATATAGCCATACACTTTTTCAGGCTTGCTGTTCCCACCACGAGCACACCATAGCAACACTCGACATTGACCACGGCCGGCTTACTTGGGTGGGGTATGACCAAAAATCGATTTTAATTACATTTCCATCTTACCGTCCACTCTCTATCATCTTCATCCTGACTTTGAGTTGATGTATCACCATTGGTAGCAATATCACCATTGCTAAGAGTAGATTTTGTTGGAGGTTCTTCCACAAGTTTAATAAGCTGTAAACACAAACAGAAAATTAACATGCCAAAGATATACTGGAATCAAAAGCAGTGTTACAAAAGATGTTCTGCTGCCTAAAAGTCAAGGGTCTTATGACTACACTACCTTCAATAATCCTTTTGAAATTTATAACTCCAAAGACAAGATAAGGTCTGTTTCTAAATAACCGTCAGTATTCCCTAGCAAATGACAGCATTACTCTTCCCACATTGCCTAGCTTACAATTTTTTTCAGCAGTCCATTAACTGACTTACAGATGTTGAAAAATTCATATTATTAATGTGCTGAGTGTATTTATTCATACTTTAAACAAAGTAAAATAATTGTGTATAATATTTATGTATTCTTCAAACATCTGAGAACTCAGGCAACCAAGGTATCCAACATTGTTTTCTCTCCAGATATATCAGTAATGACCACATTCTGCCATCCCCTCCTATGTGCATGCTGAAACAATTACCTCAAGCATTTCATCATTAAGTGCATTCAAAAGACATCCAAGGAACTCCTCAGCATCTTCTTGCCTTCCTTCTACTTTAAAGGTGTCACTCCGAATGCAGTTCAACATCTTGTATATATAACTAGGCTCAAATGGAGTTCCACATTGAACTTCAATACTACCATCATCCTTACGTAAAGCCTTTTCCTTACGATCTCTTAGACGAGATGCAGCAGACAGAGGCATAAACTCGTCGACAAACTGGACCCTTAAAAATAAAATAATTTGTATTACTAACTTCCCTTCAACTCACTTGAAATGAGACAAAAGTTCTTGAACAGCTTATTGTAAAGTAAGGGCATTATATTGTATATTGTTATGATTAAAGTAAATAATTATGATACAAAATTACAAAGACCTCAATACATTTGGAATGCTACTAAATTTCAGTTTCAAACACTTACAGCCTCGCCCACTTACAAATGAAACAAATCCTCCTCAATGCAAATGCCAGAGGACCAAACAATACAATACTTTTACCAACCAATGATTTTTATTCCTGGATTTTATAATCATGGCATAGGAAAATGTGAAACAAAAGTGAAAAACTGAATTTTATACGTGCAATGACACAATTCTTACTACTTTCTATGTTGTCAAATTTTCACTATCAAACCAGCAGAACAACATCTGGATTCCTACACATTCATCACACACACACAACCACAATTCATGAAAATTAGGACTTGCTGTACGTATAATATGGCAGCACGACAGTAAACTGTGCATGTTAAGCCACAGGTCATAATGCTACGCAAAAGTTGGCAAAAAGCACGTAATATTTGAGGTTTTCACAGCGGTGAGTATGAAGATTTCTGTCTTCTGGGTTGTTGCGATGACGGAGGCAGTATGATCTCTGAAACGTTGGTTAACATCGACCAGACTACACAGCGCAACAACCCAGAAGACAGAAATCTTCATACTCATCACCCTGGTGACGGAGGAAGTATGACCTCTGAAACGTTGGTTAACATCGACCAGACTACACAGCGCAACAACCCAGAAATCTTCAATGTATATCACCTCTGAAGATGCATGTTCATAACAGCTAACAATCAACATTATTATTAGTTTGTAAACAAAACACCATATTAACTGGTAACTTCCAGTCATGCATGACAACAAATTATATATGCCAGCATATTCTGATCGATAAGCTACTGTTTGTTCAATGTAGTTGTTCCTGGACTATTAATTTTACTACATTACATTGACTTGCTTTTAGCACAATAGAATAACATTACTATACTAGAAATATACAAAATTATTTCTAATATTAGACTTAATTACAGTGTCTATCAGCAAACATTATTCATAACACAAAACTGATTAGCTTTCTATCATTGTTTGTAGTCATATTTTTTCCCAAAATTATGAGACAATATAAATGCTGTCAATGAAACTTCTGTTTCTAATTTCTCCTGCTCTGAAATAGTCGGGGATCCTAACTTTATGCAGAGTGAACGGAACAGACAGCCTGGCAAGTAGTCATAATTGTTAAGAGCAATAACAACATAAACCAACATGGCAACGGAAAAGACTGGTAACTGGAGCTCATCCAGTATTTAAGTATAAAGATAAAGATAAACATGCTAACATGCTTACATGCTGTCAATGATGGGAGTAGTTGACTTCCCAGAACGCTTTGGAAACAATGACAAAGCCTTCATGAGATTGTAGAAGGGTGGGCATGCCAACAGAGCCTGAAGTGTCGAGTTGATGTAACACCAATTGCTTCTATTTGTCAAACCTCGAGGTTGGAGGCTAAGAGCCTTGTGTTCCAGCTGATACTTCATCAAGAATTCTGTAAAGAAATCAATACACAATATTCAGAAGTTACAGAGCTCCTCGAATGGGGCAAGGACTGTAAAGCGTGCAAACATAGTCAGTATTCACAAATTAAATTTGAATTATGCATGCCAAAAGCTGAGAACCAATTAATAAAAGGGAAAAATTCCAGAAAGGGGGAACAGGGAAACTTTAAAATATGCAATCATAATTTATATTCACATACTACATTACATAATTTTTACAAGAATGAATCATAAAGGCTAGGAACAAATTAAACAATACAAAGAATCTCAAGACATTTAAAAGTTCAAAGCCAAACTAAATTACTAACGTGCATGTTAAACCTGTTCAATATCATGAAAATGAAGATATAACCTCAAGACATAGCTCTGTTGAAGCAGAGCTGCAATAGTGATTACATACTTAATCCTTCTCATGTTTCCATGATACCATTTTTCTGAAGAACTGAATCTTTAATATCTAGTTCTGGATAAAATAACAACCCAGATAGACAAAATTAGAAGATATATCATCATACATAATTTCAGGAATATACACTGTATGGCAGTGGTACCCAACCTTTTTGTGCCTACGGGCACATTTGAGAGTTTATGAGATCGTGGCAGGCACCAACCAATTAACAAAGCCAATTTTTCTTTTCTCTGGACAAATAAGATACAGACACCCAATAATACACAAAACAACACGACGTTTAATGATACAAGAATCATGCAATTAAAAATATGTACTTTTATAAGCACAATTATTGTTACTCAAGTGGGACGTTAGTGTGATGTTTGGCGCTGCATTTCATCGGCCAGTTTTTCAAATTTGGGAGTGTAGGATGATGTTGCTGCTCGCAAACAACCGTCAAGATGGGCGTCAGTAAGTCGAGATCTGTGCTTTGATTTTATAATGTTCATGGTTGAACAGCCTTCATTATTCAGTAAACCTCTTTCCTTATCAACGCGGGCACCCAAAAAAAAGCCTGGGCGGCTGCCATGGCACCTGCAGGCACCGCGTTGGGGACCACTGCTGTATGGTCTTTGTATCATACCAACGTTACAAAGTCAAATGTCTTGTCACACTGTTATTACTAACTGCACGAAACACAAGGCTGAGGTGGTCTTCAATTTCATAATGATCATTTGCTACACAATACCATCCAACAGGAAGCTTTATAGAAAATGTTATATGTGGAATTATAAATGTAGCAAATGTCCAAATATACACTCATAAATGATGTATCACTTCAAATACACTGCACTTTCAAACCAAACACATGATCAGTACACTATAGGAGGTGCAAGAAAATCTCCATTTTATATTGCTACTGGGAAAGTAAATGTGAACGCACAGACCATTAAAACAAAGACTAAACTCCACAATGTAATTGCTAACATACAGAAGAATTCCAATGTGTGGCAAAACTTGGTTCTTTTTCATAACACTTATTTTTCAGAGAAAACCTAACATGAAGTTCACCTTCTATTAATGACCTTGCAGAGGCACAAGAACATGCAACTATTTTCCAATTAACTTTATCTTAAACTACCAAATTCTTTTTGCTCAAAAGTAAAACTGATCGGAGATGAAGAAAACCCACCTCCTAGTTGGTATAAATGTGGGTCATCAGTTGAAGAGAGGGAGTGCAACTGAGGAAAACTTTTAACATTGTCCCCTGTTGCAATGCTGACTCCATGATTTGCAGCTGGTGACTGTGGTGCTGAAGATCCCTCAGGAACTCTGAGAGATGCATCAGGAGTAACAGGAACAGCATTCTGGAATGGTTTCACACATGCTAGGGGCTTGTTGCCAGATTGAGTCCTACTTGCTGGAGATCCAGTTATCATTCCCCCAGCTGTTTTTGAATTTGGCTTGAACAGACTTGCCCATGTTTTACCAACAGGCGTTGCCACCTGAGCGTTCTGCAAGTCAATAGGATTACTACCTGGGGGCAATACAGTTACATTCTGGTGCTGAACAGCAACGGAAGTACTTGCAGGTTGGGGGCTGCTAGTAAAGGGGATAACTCCATCTACAAGAGGTCCATGTGCTGACTTTGGTGATGTTACTGCTGGCACAGGAGTATCAACATGAGATAAAGGATATTTTACATCTGTAATTTGAGACTTTTCAACAGCTGATGGAAGATCAACGCCAACAATTGTCTTCTCTCTTTTCAAATCTAATTCGCTCACTACAGCATTCCCATTAGCACTAGCCTCACTGTTTATTGTAGGTTCTTGGTTCAATGCTACATTATCATCCATAACAACACCCACAGTTGAAACGTTATCTTTTTCTGTCACAAATTTAGGCTGCACATCACTTTTTATAAAATTCTGATGTACAGTTGACTGCAGTAAGTTCCTACTTATAGAATCCACAACACCACTTTGCTTATTTTCAATAAATGGGGGAGGTTCTGTTACAATATTACTATTATTTACAACTACAGTATTCACTAGGTTTGATTGAGTGAAATCTTCTTCCTCACTCTGCTGCTGCTGGTATCTTATAGGATTTGAGTTGTCAACACCATCACTTTCCACTGCCTCAGTGTTTGAATTCAGAGACGTATGACACACTTCTGGCAGTGGCTGCGGCTGATACGAGGTCGCACAAACAGATGATGGTGGCAGCTTCTGCTGATGCATACTTGCTTCTCCAAGTTCAATATCCATATTTCCTGTAGGAAGCGGCAATCTTTCTTCAGCCCCACTGCCTTCCACTTGGTAACTTCTGAGAACAGAGGTCTCTGTGGTAGGCACTGGAGCAGTTTGTATGGCTGTAAAGGGCATGATAGGAGGGCCTCCAGGAGCCTGGTGATGTGGTGCATATGCTCTATACATATGTGGTGGTGGATATATTGGATGGCCAGGCATATAGATGGGAGGTCCAGTTGCATGCTGAGCAGATGGATGAGGGGGAAGATGTGATGCAGGATGCGCGGGTGTCGAAGGATTATAGTATGGCGTCTGAAACGGGTGAGGCAATGAATTAATGGGAAAAAATTGGGGATAGCCTTGTTGTGCTAAGCTTGAGTTTGCAGTAGATGTCTCAACAAGTGGAGATTGCTGAACTTGTATGGCTTCCTGAGTGTGTCTGCCTGAAGAGTTCCTGTCACCATACTGAACATCCATACGTTTGTTACCCAGCTTACTAGAACGTCCACGTCGTGCTTCTCGTCCACCATTCCTGACAGAAGGATTAACAGTTTCATGAGGGCCCTCAGAAGGGTAAACTTGCTGTGGAGAGATGTGTGGATATGTACTCAAATAGCCATGAACATTCACATTGGCAGTCACATTGCCAACATAAACATTAGGGAGAGGTAAACCAGATACAATCTGATGGTGATACATTGTCGTCATCACTGATGGTGGAACTGGTGCTGGAACTGATGTTGGAATTGACATAACAGATGCATCAGGATAGATTGAATTTGTAGCATGGGGACCAGCCATGGTTTGAGGCTCCTGAGAGACATCTGGAATCTGATGAGCTGCAGAGGGAGTATTTTGCTGGGCCACAGAATCACAATCACTCCCATCCAACACTGCAGTCACTGCACTTGAACTATTTACAGGCTCCCCTGGTGCTGAAAAGAAATAATTTTACAATCTACAACATAGGAAAATCTTTCGATGTCTGTAATCCATACTTTTTGGGTAACTCAAGAAACTAATTTTGATTCTCCTCATTATGCAGTGTTTTTCATCCTTCTGTTAATTCCTCTCTTAGGATCATATATTTTCCTCTTCCATTTCTATCACATCAGTCAAAATACTCATCAAGCAGATATCACAAAATTCCAAACTGTTAGCATACAATATGGGTACACAACATCCTACTTTTATCCCTATTTAGAACTGTTACAGTAACCAACAGATTACTTCAACACCTAAATAACATAATTTTGATTCAAAACGGCTATGAAATGAAAGTGTCA